TTGGTGTCGATTAGTCATCGCGTCGCGTTGTCGATCGGTTGTTTGCGAACAGATGGTCGCGCGCCGCTTTTCTTCTCGTCCACCGATCCACCGGTCGAATCGGATCAAGCCACCGGAACACGGTCAATCTCGACCAATTATGCAAATCGCTGTGTTACCGTTAAATTGCATCCGCCGAGCGCGGCATTAACGTCCAGCTTTCCATCGAGAGCGCGAAAATGATAGGAAATCGTGCCGATCTCCATCGTCGGCCCACACCATCATCCATCTCTTTTTTCTCCTCGAAATTATGAAACTTCAGCCTCACCGAGATTCGTCCTAAGATGAGAAAGATTGATTTGAATGGAACAAGACCGATTTTGTGCCTATCTTTATTCTGACTCTTGCATCGATGCGTCTGTTTTCAAAATTTGACTCGAAGTAGAGATAAATAAATTCTATATTCTGATTTTATCGATGCATCCGTTTTAAAAATTTTAATCGAGGATAAATGGAATTTCATTCGTATGAACGTGTTTAATAAATTCTAATTTTTTATTCTATCGTCGATCGATTATTTAGAGATAAATAAAATTCCATTCGTATGTGTTTACATAATAAATTCTGATTACGCGTAAGACCAATTTTGAGTCTATCTTTATTCCGATTTTATCGATGCATTTTTATCAAGTTTTAAAAACTTGACTCGAGGATAAATGGAATTTATTCGTGTTTATATAATAGATTCTGATTATGCATAAGACCAATTTTCTATTCTATCGTCGATCGATTCGTTAATTTTCAAAATTTGACACGAAGTAGAGATAAATATATATTCCATTTCGTAATATAGATCTCGAAAATTCGAGAAAATTGTTACACGGTGGTAGATAATAGAAACTGAATTAAAGTTCGGATGGGATCATGGCACTAATTTCGTTACAGTAGCTGCATCTCGTACGTTCGAAATTCTCGCATCTTCTCCCAAACGTCCCTCGTTTCAACTTTCAATCGTTGTATTCCGCAACTTGCTTCCCGTACCGGATGTCCGATGTCTCGAGAAATTTCTCGGAAATATTCCGAATTACACATTCCTCTTCCTCCCGCGGCCACGTCTTCTTCTTTTTTCCTTTTTTTTTTTTTCTTTTCCCTCCATCAACGCGTGACTAAAGGTACAATAAGCGTCACGTTGCGTGAATCATCGCGCGAGAGGTCACGTTCTTTCTTCCGAGAATCGTTTCAACGGCTCGAATACACCGTGGAACGTGTCACGGGAAAGAAGAAGGAAGAAACAAGAGTCGCTGCAAACCGCGCTCGTCACGATCGCTTTTTCCAAATCCGTTCGTCATCGTTCGAATCGAAGACAAACGAAAATATTGCCCGAGCTTTGAACCGCTTTGGATTGCTTCGATTGCTCGAGAAACGATCGTCTAATCCGTGCACACGCGTGGAGATCGATCGAGACCTTAGCCTTCGTCCTTAGAGATCGTCCCGGCTTTCTCGATCGGACGCGATCGCAGCAGGGCGTGGCGAAGGCTGGCCGGAAAGGTTGGCGTCGCCGCGAGATCCGAATCTATTCTCAGCTCAACAATGGATCGCATTCTTAACGCCACTAGACCGCCGGTCTACCGCTGTATCTTGGAAACCGCGATACTTGCTCGCATTCCATTCGCTTCGGGAAAGCCGTGCACGCGATTCAAACGCCACCAATCTAATCGTCCGACGCTTTTTCCATGTCTGATTAACTCTTTGCACTCCAGGCCTGTTTCGCTCGGTCGAACCAGCAACTCGGACACAGCGTTCGGTGGCCTCATAAGATTACCATAAGATAATTACTCGTATAGATAAGATTATACCTCGTAAGATTAAAGAGCTTAAGAACTTATTTATGAAGCGATATTTTAAAAAAATCAAACGTAAGTAAATATTGTCGCCGTTCGAGGATTACTGCAATAGTCCCAGTGATGGCAAAGGGTTAATCGATCGACTTAATCGATCTTGTTCATCAGACGAATTTCCTCGAGTGAAGATTAAATTAAAAATCGCGGATTATCGGTTCATCGGTTTCGGAGTGACGAAAGGAAGTTACGAGGAATGGATATCGGCAGTAAGAATAGTAAGTGGATCATCGAACCTAACCGAATGGAGGTCGATGCATCGCCGTTTCCATATGGTCCGCGTGCTAGGCCATCGTTTGTTTCTCCTTTCTAGAGTTATTCTAGTCGCGAGGACTAGACGCGTATGCGCCCCTCCTCGTCGACGTTGCCAGCCTAAAAACGGATTCAGTGGAACGCCTTTAAATTCGACCCGCCGACGGAAGAATCATCAACATTGGCTTCCGCCAATCCTTTCAATCTTTCGTTATCCGATCGTTCGTACCGCTCGAATTTTCCCGAGGAATTCGTCGAATGTACAGTTACTTCCAAGCAAAGTAGGTCCATCAAAAGTACGAAAATAGACCTCTTAACAGGATCCCCATGTAATTCGTTTTCCCTCGTTAGGCGGAGGTTAAAAGGCAGCCTCGTGGATTTGGAAAATTGTCGAGTCGTTCTTGAATCATCGAATCGATTCCACTTCCCTCCCTTTTTGCTTGTATAAGATAGATAAACACCGTTATTTTTTTTCTTTCTTTTTTTTTTTTTTGTCATACGTTGGACCCAGGCCAATTCGCTCGATTTTTGTTCGATTCTTTTTTTCCTCGAACGCTCGAAAGGAAACTTACTCTCTTACTACCCTAGAATTAACGGATTTGCACCTGGACTCCTCCGAGTCCGGTTGAATTGTTGGGCAAACCTGGCCCAGGTTTATTCGTCATTCGTCAAGCCCATCTGCCGATCGTAATCGTACCGTTTATTCGGTAAAGACGGTTCTCAACTTGCGTCTCCCAAAATATTTTTCTTGTTTTCAGGAAACACGTGTTTCGCGACGATGACGAGTTTTTTTTTCACGACACTATTTACTAATAGTCTCGAGTAAATCTGTAGATAAATAGACAAATATGGCGATATATATATATTAAACGATACATAGAATTTTTTTTTCGAAAGATGGAAGAGTTTTATTTCGCAAAATATTGCAATATTTTGTATCAACATTGATATGCACGTCAAATAATTTAATTATTGAAAGCGTTAAATATTTAGCATTTAACTGTCGATGTTTTAAATTTATATCTACAGATATATATCGATACGATACGATGAAATTTCGAAAATTTTTTACGCGGTATAAAAAAATAAAAAAATAAAAAAAAACGTTCCCGATTAAAAACGAATGAAATAGTAAAGAATAAACGAGCTACGTCCTTCTCTCGAGCCGACACCCGCTCTCCGATCCGTAATTTTTATGGACGAGGCGAATCTACGTGGTTAATCTACGTGACGCATTGCGACGTCATCTCAGTAACCTGCCCATCCGTCCAACGAATGCATTATAATGTAAAACAACGTATTCGTTCCCGTGTGTATCGTTCGATAATGACGCCCTCTTCAGTTTCTCCGAATAACGAGATACGGGAACAAAATGGCGCGGACGAGAGGAAAAAGAAGAGAAGAAAGGGATGGACGATTATTAACGATTAATTGGCAATTTGTCAGAGGCGGCGCTTCCGAGACTACTTCTCGAGAGCCGGTTTCGATTTCACCGAATTTTAAGAAAGAGAATCCAATATTCGGCCAAGAACGGCGGCAACAGGGGAAATAATCGCGAAATTCATTGCGATCGCAACAGTTGAACGAAGCCTGTTACCGTTTATTACGCGCTACAAATCAAGAAGACGGTAACAATAATTGAATCGCTTTGATATTTCACTTCGTTTTCTCTTCGTTCGTCTTATTAACTCGTCCGCTTCAAGGGAAAACAAAAATTTTCGTCCATAAAATCTGTGAAATCGATCGATGTCCTGAAAGTTTTATTTATTTACTTCTTATGAATGTACATATACAATCGATATATACGTATAAAAAAAATATGGAGAGCGAATGAATAAATTCGTTCATAACATTCTCTGAGAATAATTCGGGGGAAAAAAATATTTATAAGAATAAATCATTAAATTATGATGTGTCAAATATATCTATCGATCTATTTATGATTTAATTCGAACGACGAAAGAAACGATAGAATTTAACAATGTAAATAATAACATTTAACACAATTAAATATTTTATGGTCTCTGTACATGAGACAGTTAGAAATGAAAAAAAAAAAAAAAAAAGAGAAAAAAATGTAGGAGCGGTAATCGAATCGGCTTTTGTTCATATTTCTCAGGGTTGAGCCGCAACAATTTTACTCGATGTTTCGCAACATCGCGCTACAATTATTTATTGTTCCATCGTTATCGTAAAAAACAGCTGCGAATTGGCTCGTTTCCCCGGGATTTCTGCTCCCTGCTATCTAGTACGGTCGGTACTAACCGGCTGAAATAATAGCAAGAGGTCGTGGCTGTACCGTAAAATAGGGAAACGGAAAACGGAGAGGAGTCAGAGTTTTTCTACAAACTAA